GCAGCCTCGACCTGCTGGGCTCCGGCAATCCTTTCACCTCAGCCTTCCGAGTAGCTGGAATTACAGGCACGCGCTACCATGCCCAGCTGGTTTTTTGATTATTGTAGAGATGAGGTCTCGCTGCCCAGGTGGGTCTCGAACCCGTGGGCTCAGGCAATCCACTCACCTCAGTCTCCCAAAGGCACGGGATTACAGGCTGAGCCACCGAGCCCGGCTGACACCTTGACTTTTATAAAACAAAGCCAGTGAAGATCCCAAGACCATGGATGTCCCACCCGCTGGAGGCATGACACCAGACACAAGGCTGTGCCTTGGCCATGGAGGAGTGAATGGAGCTCTGGTGTTGTAGCAGGTGTGTGAGAAACATGCTCCCCCTCCCAGTAACAAAAGCTGTGCCCCCCCCCAGGCCTCCTGATGGGAAGGCAACTTGCTGTCCACAGTGGGTACCTACACACCTACTGCATGACCAGCAGATCCCCAGTTCATTTTCAGGTGAAGAATGGAATCCAGACATGAAGCTCAACGTAGTGGCTCATGCCTGTCATCCCAGCATTTTGGGAGGTGGAGGTGAGAGGATTGCCTGAGCCCAGAGGTTTGAGACCAGCCTGGGCAACTTGGCAAGACCTTGTGTCTACAATAAATCAAAAAGTTAGCCGGGCACAGTGGTGTGTGCCTGTGGTTCCAGCTACTTGGAAAACTGAGACAGAAGACTCACCTGAGCTCAACAGGTCGCGGCTGCAGTGGCCATGAGTGTGCCACTGCACTACAGCTCAGGCAACAGAGTGAAACTCCAACTCAAAAAAAAAAAAAAAAGGAAGAAAGAAATTCAGACACAAGTTGACTCGCTGAGGCCACGGGTGGGGATGGCAGAGCTGGGACTCAAGCTCTGTGCTGTGCACCACCCTACCCACCTCAAAATGCCACTGGGGCCTCTGCACTCCCAATTTGTAGCCATCCTCTGGGGCTCAGCTCTGTCTCCAATCTCAGGATTTATTCCGGTAGATGGAAGATAGGGTCAGCATTTAATCTCTAAGCCACTCGCCAGCTGCTCGCATTTTGACTTGCAGTAGCCACTAGGAGGCTCTCTCCTCTCCCTTCCCAGCTAGAAATGTCCGCGGAGATGGAAGGAGGGTGAGGGAGAGGTGGGGAGATGGGCAGCCTCCGGAAGAGTCAGGCTCTCCCAAAACCTGCCCTCCTCTGCCCCTCCCAGGGCGGTTTGCAGTCCAGTCGCCCCATCTCCTTCCTGTTCAGCCCTCTGTGTCCAGTCCAGCTGTGTGTGAGGCCACGTCTGTCCCCAGGGAGCCAGCAGGACAGGGCGCCCTGATCAGACACGAGGGTCTGGGGCTAATGAAGTAGGACTTGACACTGGCTCTGCCCCTTCTAGCTTTGGACAAATGGCTCCACCCCTTTGAGTCTCAGTTTCCTTGTCTGTATCGTGAGGATAACAATCAGGTGGGAGTAAATGAGAAAACATAGGCAAAGCCCCTAGGAAGCTTCACTGATTGGTAGCTAGAGTCACCATGATTTCTCTGGGAGACATAAGGAGTGAGCAGAGGGCTTCCGAGCTCACAAGGATGGAGGAGCTCAGCCTGGGGGCAGGAAGAGGAGTCATTGGACAGAGAGTTTGGGACTAGCTGGGGACTCTGTAGCTCAAGGCTTGGGAATGTGAAAGGGAGGAAGAGTAGGTTCTGGTTGTTTTGAGTGTTCAGTCCGGTGTGGTGGCTCATGCCTGTAATCAAAGCACTTTGGGAGGCTGAGACAGGAGGATTGCTTGAGCCTAGGCGTTCAAGACCAGACTGGGCAACATAGCAAGACCTCATCTCTACAGTAAATCATTGTGGAAACTTTTCTGTCCTCTCAATAAATCCTGTTTTTTTTTAAAAAAAATTAGTTGGGCGTGGTGGCACATGCCTGTAGTCCCAGCTACTCGAGAGACTCAGGTGGAAGGATCGTCTGAGCCCAGGAGGTCAAGGCTGCGGCAAGCCATGATCATACCACTGCACTCCAGCCTGGGTGACAGTGAGACCTTGACTCCAAGAAAAAAGAGAAAGAATGAAATGAGTGAATGCATGTGAAACCCTTGAAACTGCTCATGGTCTATGGTGCATGCTTTAGAAGTGTTAGTGATGAGGATAAAGTGATGTGAGGGGTTTAGGCCAATATTCGAAGACCTCACCTGGGTCTTCATTCTCTTCAGGGCATGGAAGATTCCAGGTTTTTGAGGATCCAGGTCTACACCCAGGAGACCCTGTGAGCAGGAAACTGAGTAAGGATGTGAAGGCAAAAGGAGATCCTGGGGGCTGGAAGAGAGCGGGGTGGGGGGCAGAGGAAGGCTAGAAACCTGGAGGTAGCTGAGGATGAGCAGGCAAAGCCACCTCTTCCCACCACATGGCCCCTCGAAGGCCAGGGAGGCACAGCTCAGGAGCCCTTGCCAGGCCACCCACCGTCCCAGTTTGCCCAGGACTGTCCCGATTTTAGCACCAACAGTCCCGCATTCCCAGAAACACCTCAGCCCCGGGCAAATGGGACAATGGGCCACCCCGCCTGCCCCTGCCTCAAATCCCAGCTCCTCTTCCCCCTCCAGCCTGCTCAGAACAGTCCTGTCAGGCCCCAGGGCTCTTGGCCACAACTTACCTTCTTCCAAAAAGCTCTGGAAGGACAGGGCATTCAGGCCCCAGCTCAGATGTCTGGTGTCTCTGCACGTCCCGTGTTCCGGAGACAGGAATGGCTTCCTGGTCTCTGAGGCACAGGCTGTGCCCACGCTTTCCAGGGCCGGCAGATGTGGCACCTAATTTCCCAGCACTAATCCTTCAGAGGGCTCTCTGCCACGGGGATTAGTTGCTGGGGTCCCCGAGCAGCAGGGAAGGGGGGCAGATCTGCCAGGGGGTGCTGGGGGGCACCATGTGACCCAAACGCTCCAGGCTGGTGGGCAAAGGAATGCTCTCTCCTCAAGGAGCCTCTGCCGAGGCCAGTGTGGAAAAGAGAGGGAAGGGCCGCCAGGATCCAACCTTGGGCTCACCCCACACCAGCTTCTCAGCACCTCTGAGGAACCCAGGGCTCCGAGGAACACAGCTTAAAGACCACTGGGGTCAGCCTCATTGTTATTCACATGATGGGTGTTCAAGTCCCTGTTAGTCCCTGCCTGTGTGACCCTGGGTAAGTCATAGCCTCTTTACTTCGTCGATAATACGGGAATAATAGTAACATCTGGGTGCATGTGAGGATTAAATCGCAGGTCACCCATGGCCCAGCACCTGTAAGGGCTCTGTAAAGACCTTTCTCAGTGAACATTCTAGAAGGCCATTTATTTATTCATTTTGAGTTGGGGTCTCACTCTGTCACCCGGGCTGGAGTGCAGTGGCACGATCACAGCTCACCACAACCTCAACCTCCTGGGCTCAGGTGATCCTTCCACCTCAGCCTCCTGAGTAGCAGGGACTATAGGTGTGTGCCACCATGCCCAGATAATTTTTTGCTTTTTTGTAGAGATGAGGGCTCACCATGTTGCCCACACTGATCTCGAACTCCTGGGTTCAAGCAATCCTCTTGCCTTAGCCTCCTAAAATGCCATGATTACAGGCATGAGCCATCGTGCCCAGTCCCTAGAAGGTCACTACTATTGATCTTTTGATATAAAGCATTTTTGCCTTCCCAGCACTAGATAAGGCTGCACGTTGGAATTACTTGGGGAGCTTCTAAAACTCACTGGTGTCTGGATGCCCCCCCCCCCCGCCCCTGCAAAGGTCTCCAAGGGCATAGCCAGGATGCTGCGATCTTTGGCGACTCCTTGATGATTCTACTATGTGGCCAAGATTGAGAACCGTGTGTCTCCAACGTATCTGTGCATAGGAGCACCCAAGGCCAGTGGGTCAGGAAAGGACCAAGAGTCTCCATTTCTTTTCTTTTCTTTTTTTTTTTTTTGAGTTGGAGTCTAACTCTGTCGCCCAGACTGGAGTGCAGTGGCCACTCCCATCCACCTCAGCCTCGACCTGCTGGGCTCCGGCGATCCTTCCGCCTCAGCCTTCCAAGTAGCTGGAACTACAGGTGCGCACTACCAATAAATAAATTTTTTATTTATTGTAGAGATGAGGTCTTGCCAAGTTGCTCAGGCGGGTCTCAAACCCGCAGGCTCAGGCAATTCACTCACCTCAGCCTCCCAAAGGCGCAGGGTTACAGGCTGAGCCACCGAGCCCAACTTCCATTTCTTTTTCTTTCTTTCTTTTTTTTGGGGATGGGGGTTAGAGTCTCACTCTGTTGCCCTGGCTGGATGGAGTGCAGTGGCACACTCACAGCCACCACAGTCTTGACCTGCTGGGCTCAGCCAATCCTTCCACCTCAGCCTTCCAAGTAGCTGGAACTACAGACATGCGCCACCACACCCAGCTACTTTTTTTATTTATTGTAGAGATGAGGACTTGCCAAGTGGCTGAGCCCCTGGGCTCAGGCAATTCTCTCACCTCAGCCTCCCAAAGTGCTGGGATGACAGGCATGAGCCACCGCGCCAGGCTGAGAGTTTCCATTTCTAACATACTTCTGGGTGATGCTGGTACAGGAGCCACACTTGGAGGAGCAAGCCTCCTTTGCAGTTCATGAGTGACATCAGCCTCCACATCACTGTCTCAAGAGACCCTTGAATGATTACCTCCTTGTGCCCATGCTCAGGGCTGGTACATAAACTGGTGGATGCAAGCTTTCTAGATCTTCTGCAGCCCCCCTGGCCAAAAATCAGAGTGACTTTGTCCAAACTCCACTGGGTGGGGCTCAGAGAGGGAAAATGACTTGCTAGGGTCACACAGCCAGTTTAGTGACGACAGCAGAACCAGGACCCAGGCCTACCCTGCGGTGCCAGGCTGCTGGTTGAGCCTCCCTGTGGCTCAGGGCAGCTGGGTGACCGCCTCTCGGGCACAGATGTGCGCTGACACTGTGCCAGGTCGTGCTTAGCGCTTCTGTGCTGTGCTTTGGTTTGCACAGTCCTGGGAGGCAGCTTCCCAGCTGCCCCTTTCTTCCACAGAAGAAACTGACACTCCGAAAAGTGACCTCCTGAGGCAGGGCAGGGATTCGGACCCTGGAGTCTTCTGCTCCCCAGACGCCGACGAGTCTCCTGTCTTCCCACCTGCCTATGAGGTCCTCTAGGGCAGGGGCTGGATTGTCATTGTGTGGCAATCCAGTCATGGAGGATGCAAAAGAAGATCTAGAGGGCAAGCCTCCATCTGTTGACGTCCCGGGCCCTGAGCAGTCTGCAACCCTCGCCTCACCTCTCCGTGGACTCCTTCGTGCACCTGCTGCTCAGATCCCAACGCAGCTGCTTCTCACCGCGGAGGCCAGCCCCGCCCGTCTCCATTTAGCATGTCATATAGCAGAATGACCACTGGGTGGCAGGAGAAACCCGTGTGTAAAAACCTTTGCACCAGCCTGCGACTCCTTTAAAGGATAATCCCCTCAAGGGCTTCCTTCCTCCAGGCTCTTATCCAGGGGCTTTCCATCCGTGGATCAAGATCATTCCCCACTACAGCCCCATGAGGGAGAAATTATTCATTCACTTTAGAGAGGAGGCATCATATCTGTCCTTTGTTTAAAGAACCTCCCGTGGCTGTCTCCGGCTCTCTGGAAAATTTCAAAATCCTTATCTGCATAGTCTAAACCTACCCTGTGGACAGACCCTTGAGTCAGACAGCAGGAGTTTAAATCCAGCTCCACCACTTATTACTGATGTGACTTTGGTTGGATTTTTTGGCTTCTCTTGGACCTTGATGTGCTCTTCTGTAAAATGGGTAATGACACAGAGCCTACTTACCCCCTTGGGGCAGGAGTGAGGATTGCATGAGATAATAAACCTAAAGCATACAGCTAGGCAGCTGGCAGACAGCTAGCTGGGATGCAGGAAGTGTTAGTCATTGCCATTAGCATTAGTCTCACTGCCCTCTCCTCTTAGGGAGAAAATTACTGTCCTCCCCCTCAGCATCAGCACTGTTAAGAAAGAAGAACAAAAGCCGTTAAGAAAAAAGAACAAAAATCTCAGCACTTTGGGAGGCTGAGGCAAAAGGATTGCCTAAGCCCAGGGGTTCAAGACCAGCCTGGGCAACTTGGAGATACCTCGTCTCTACCCCGAAAAGGTTGCCCCTTTTCATTTACTTTTTTATTTTTTTTATTTTTTTATTTTTCTGAGTAGGAGTCTCACTCTTGTTGACGCCACCACGACCACGAATTTTTTGATTTATTGTAGAGATGAAGTCTCGCCAAGCTACTCAGGCTGGTCTTGAAACTGTGAGCTCAGGGAATTCTCTCACCTCGGCCTCCCAAAGGGCTGGGATTATAGGCGTGAGCCACCGAGCCCAATCTAATTTAATTTCATTTTAATTTAATTAATGTATTTATTTTAATTATTCTATTATTTTATTTTATTTATTTTAGACAGGGTCTTGCTCAGTCACCCAGGTTGGAGCGCAGTGGCGCAATCATAGCTCAACTGTAGTCTCAAACTCCTGGGCTCCAGGGATCCTCCTGCCTCAGCCTTCTGAGTAGCTGGGACTACAGGCACATGCCACCACACCCAGCTAATGCTTTTGTTTAATTATTTTTAATTTTTTAATGTTCATTATGCAGGTACCCTTGTTGATGAGGTGTGCCCACCCTCCTCCAGCAGATTCCTACTACTACCAATCCCACCTCCCCCACCATTGGTAGTTTCCTGCTAACTGCCAATCCTTTTATTATAGTATTACAATAATTGTTCAAGGTCCGCTTATGAGTAAAAACATGTGATACTCAGTTATTTGTTTCTGTGAAAGATCACTCAGTATTATAGAATCTAAGTCCATCCAGGTTGCTGTGAAGTTCATGATTTTGTCCTTCTTTATGGCTGTGTAAAATATTCCATCATGTCTGTGTACCACATTTTTTATCCAGTCCTCTTTTGATAGGCAGCACAGTTGGTTCCATGTTCTTGCTACTGTGAACAATGCTGTGATAGATGTACATGTGCAGGTTTCTTTTTTATAGAGTGATTTGAGTTCTTCCGGGTATATCCCTAGTAGGGGGATTGCCAGGTCATATGGAAGGTCGATTTTTAGATCTTTTAGGAATCACCACACTGTTTTCCACAGAGACGGTACTAGTTTACACTCCCACCAACAATGTAGAAGTATTCCCTTTTCATCACATCCTCTCCAGCATCTGTTCTTTTTTTGAGTTATTGATGATGGCCATCCTGACTGGAGTTAGGTGGTATCTCGGTGTAGTTTTAATTTGCATTTCTTTGATGACTAGTGTGGTTGAGCATTCTTTCATGTATCTGTTGGCTGCTCATACGTCTTCTTTTGAGAAGTGTCTATTCATATCTTTTGTCTACTTTGTAGTGGGGCTGTTTGTTTTTTTCTTTTTGGCACATTTGAGTTCCTTGTAGATCCTAGGTGTTAGGCCTTTGTCAGACATACAGTTGACAAATATTTTTTCCCAGTCTGTGGGTTGTCTCTCTGCTCTGTTGATGGTTTCTTTGGCTTTGCAGAAGCTTGTCAGTTTGATGAGGTCCCACTTGTCTATCTTTTATCTCTTACGGCATGGGCACTTGGGGTTTTGATCAGGATTGATTGCCAGTTCCAATTTCCATAAATGTGTCTCCTGCATTTTCTAAGGTTCTTATAGTTTGAGGTTTTACATTCAGGTCTTTGATCCATTTAGAGTTGATTTTTGTGTACGGTGATAGGAAGGGGTCTTGTTTTAATCTTCTGCGTGTGGTCAGCCAGTTTTCCCAGCACCATTTACTGAATAGGTTCTCCTCTCCCCAGTGGTTGGTGGTGGAGGCTTTGTAGAAGATGAGTTGGCTGAGAAATTGAGGCTTTGCTTCTGAGATCTTTATCCTTTTTCGTTGATCTATATGCCTGTTCTTGTACCAATACTTGGCCATTCTGATTATTGTAGCTTTATAATAAAGTTTAAAGTCTGGAGGTATAATACTTCCTGCTTTTTTTTTTTTTTTTAACTGAGGATTGTTTTGGCTATTCGTGGTCATTTATGTTTCCATATGAATTCCTGTATTGTTGTTTCCAGATTTGAGAAGAATGCTGCTGGTAATTTAATGGGTATTGCGTTAAATCTATAGATTGCCTTAACAATGTTGATTCTTCCAATCCATGAGCATGGACTATTTTTCCATTTGTTTGTGTCATCTTTGATTTCTTTGAACAGTGTTTTATAGTTTTCATTGTAAAGGTCTTTCAAATCTCTGGTTAGGAAGATACCAAGGTATTTGATTTTTTTGTGTGGCAATTGTGAATGGGATTGTGCTTTTTATTTGGGTTTCTGTGTGTTTATTGTTGGTGTTTAGAAATGAGACTGTCTTTTGCACATTTATTTTATACTCTGAGACTTTGCCAAAGTCCTTTATCAGTGCAAGGAGGTTTTTGACAGATTCTCTTGGGTTTTCAAGGTATAGCATCATGTCGTCTGCAAAGAAGGATAACTTGATTTCCCCTTTTCCTATTTGGATACCCCTGATCTCCTTATCTTGTCTGATTGCTCTAGCTAGGACTTCCAAAATTATGTTGAAAAGGAGGGGTAAGAGTGGGCATCCTTGTCTTGTTCCAGTTTTCAGGGGAAATGGTTCTAATTTCTGTCTGTTTAGCAATATGTTGACTGTGAATTTCTCATAGATGACTCTTACTATTTTGAGGTATGTTCCATCTATGCCTAGATGTTCGAGGGTTTTTATCAAGAAGGGATGCTGGATTTTATCAAAAACTTTTTCTGCATCTAATGATATAATCATGTGATTTTTGTTTTTACACCTGTTGATGTATTTAATTACATTTATGGTCTTATGAAAGCTGAACGAGCCCTTCATCCTGGTGATGAAGCCTACTTGGTCGTGGTGGATGATTTTTGAGATGTGTTGTTGAATCCGGTTTGCTAGGATCTTGTTGAGAATTTTAGCATCTATGTTCATCAAGGATATTGGCCTGTAGTTCTCCTTCTTTGTTGAATCTTTACTTGGTTTGGGTACCAATGTGATGTTAGCTTCATAAAAAGATTTAGGGAGAGTTACATCTTTCTCAATTGCCTGGAATACTTTCAATAGGATTAGTATCAGTTCCTCCTTGTATGTTTTGTAAAATTCTGCTGGAAACCATATGGTCCAAGGCTTTTTTTTTTTTTTTTTTTGGTAGGTAGGTAGTTTTCTTATGACATAGTCAATTTCCTGGGTTGTTATTGGTCTATTCAGGGTCTCAATTTCTTCTTGTTTCAACCTGGGGAGGTTGTATCATGTCAAAAAGTTCTCCATTTTCTTTAGGCTTTCAAGTTTGTTTCCATACAAGTGAACATAGTAGTCTCTGATAATCTTTTGTATTTCTTCAGGGTCAGTTGTGACTTCATCTTTTGCATTTCTGATTGTGTTTATTTGGGCTTTTTCTCTTTTTCTTGGTCAGTCTAGCTAGGAGAACATCAATCTTGTTTATCCTTTCAAAGAATCAGCTTTTTGTTTTGTTGATTTTTTTTGTATTATCTTTTTGTCTTCTATGTCCCAAATTTGGGCTTTTATTTTGGTGATCTGGATTCTTCTGCTGAAGTTAGGGTTTTGGTGGTCCTGCTTTTCCAGCTTCCTTAGGTGATTTGTTAGGCTGTTAACTTGTGATCTTTCCATTTTCTTCATGTGTGTTTGTAGAGATATGAATTCCTCTCTTAGTACTGTCTTCATGGCATCCTAGAGGTTTTTTGATAAGATGTTTCTTCATTTTCACTTGTTTCCAGGTATCTTTTTTTTTTTTTTTTTTTTTTTTGAGGTGGAGTCTCACTCTGTCGCCCAGACTGGAGTGCAATGGCTGCTCCCGGCCACCGCAGCCTCGACCTGCTGGGCTCCAGCGATCCTTCTGCCTCAGCCTTCCAAGTAGCTGGAACTACAGGCGTGCGCTTCCATGCCCAGCTAATTTTTGATTTATTGTGGAGATGAGATCTCACTAAGTTGCCCAGGCGGGTCTCAAACCCACGGGCTCAGGCAATTCACTCACCTCAGCTTCTCAAAGCGCAGGATTACAGGCTGAGCCACTGAGCCCGGTTTCCATGTATCTTTTAATCTGTTTTGATTTCCATGTTGACCCAGGAGTTGCTTAGCTTCATGCTGTTTAGTGTCCATGTCTTTGTGAATTTGGGGGGAACTTTGTTGGTGTTGATATTTATTT